TGTGTGTGTGTGTCTGTATGTGTGTGTGTGTGTCTATATGTGTGTGTCTGTGTGTCTGTGTGTGTGTGTGTGTCTGCACACAGCTGCCCGTGTGGGGGCTTCGCAGTGAGGGGAGACGTCCTGTTCTACTTGAGCAGTCGAAGGGTATTGGAACCAAGAGTAGCAATGCATTTGGGGTTCCCCAACTGGAATGGGCCACCCAATGCCCACGAGAAGAGACTTACTCTTGCCACGCTCTCATTCACATCTCAGCTCTCTCCTGCGCGGGCACGAGCCGAGTGTGAAGTGTTGATGACACTGTGAGACCCGGAGCAGGTACCTGGCAGCAGCAGGAGAAGAAAGAGTTTGCCGGAGTGGAAGGAGCGGGCAGAGAAGCGCGGAGGCAGGCGAGGGGCTGTGGAGGTCCCGTGTGGCTGCAGCTGAGGCGGGGGACTGGTGGGGCTGCCGCTGGTGTGGCTGGTGCGCAACGAGGGTGGGCTGGTGAGTGTGTGGCGGAGCCGGTGTAAGGCAGGAGTCGAGTCCTGCGAGGCGTGGAAGTTTGCGCTGGACTGAAAAGCCCAGGTTCGATCCCCACAGTCACCCGGGGACCTTGCCCACCTGTCCGTGTCTCTGGCCAACGCCTCACCCCCACGGGCAGCTCTGCCTTTCCCCATCAGCCTGTCAGGAGCCCGAGCCGAGAGGCTTTGGGCCCACTTTCTCTTGCCTCCCGTTCCCACGGCATTCACAAGTTGCTTCCGGTCTCTTAACCACAGGATTTATGATTTTCTTATAATCCTTGTAGCCTGTGAAACCTAATACCCTTCAGACAGTAGAAAGCCATAGCTGTACTTAGCTGTAAGGTATCAAAAAAGTCAGGCTCTTGTAGAAAACACCTTTAAAATAAACTTGTTTAATTGAAATTGCACACACACACACACACACACACACACACACAAAGATCAAAATACAACTTGTAGTTTTCATTAACATCTATGAAATTACAATTGTCTTACAATATCTTTCTGAAAATTCTTTAAATAGGTAAGCATTATCTGTAAGACTATGGCCCCCTCAGTTATCACAAAATGCCTGATATGCTTGCTATGCCAATAGAAATGTGCATGTACATATAGAAAAATATACTTAAAAGTGTTTGCACCTGTCTCTGATGAAAGATGCAAAATTGTGTGGCCTGGTACTGGCTTTGTGTTAGATTCTTTATGTCACTATCTATATATACCATTTTCTAAGTGTCACAGCTCCTGAATTTATAGCTAGGTTGTATATGCACAGATACATTCTCAAATTGTGTTCTTATTAATGACAACCTTGAAGTCTTGGCAAAATGCCTCAGACTTCACCGTTTTTATTGTTAAAGGAATTTTTAGTAAGTGGCATGATGTGTTCCCCATTGTTGTTTTCCCAGTGTACTTTTGGTCTAAGCATAAGTCAAATAGTTTTCTACAAACTCCCCTCCTCCAGCAACAGTAACTTCACTGTGTGCTTCACAGTCCAGTGTCCTGCTTGTTCTCACTGTAGACCTCAGTATATGGTTAATGGCCATTCTATCATCACCTATTTCTTTTCTCACCACTTGAGAAATCTTAAGTTTGGAAACAACTTTTACAGCATAGAAAGTGTTTTAGGAAGGTATCTTCCCAAAGAACAAATAGCATCTACATATCAAATCCCCCTTGACGTTACAGGCTTGACGTAATTAAAGGTCTGCAGTCAACAGCCAATGGTCATATTCATAAACCTATTGGGCACCTGTAGACTCTAACAATATGACTAAAAACTATCGTCTGGAATGTAAGTGCACAATGTCATCAGTATTCCCGGTTCCTTTGGGAGGGCGTTTTTTTATTTTTCCAATAAAAATGAGTGGGAGGAGGAAAAAAACCCCAGAAAGTGAAAAAGGCAGCTCCGTAGCAGAAAAATTCTTTTGCACTAAAGCAACAGCAGACCTGCTCTTGCTTTGATTGCAGAAACAACAGACACCATGACTTTCTGTTAAAATTTCCACTCTTTAGGACCCTTGGTTCACAGGTGACACAGCATTCCACAGTGACAGATGTACATCAAATAGGAATTTCCCTGTACCCATAAGCATTTTAAATAATGCCACATCGGCCTAAGTCAACCTGCTCAAGATGGACTGCTGTCAATGATGGAAACAAACACTTTATTTAAACTAATGCTTCAACTTCTGTCACTTACAGAACTTCAACTAGCGAGTTGCGTTTGGAAATTTCAGACTATCAGCTCCAAAAGAAGCCTCTTCTGAGAAGCAGATTTCTTTTTCAGAGATGTCATTGGAGTCGAATTTTTACTCAAAAGACCTTCAGGCAGAAAATTTTCCTTCTCCATCTATCTTCCTTCTCCTAAAATGTGCTGGTCACAGAATTACTGAAAGCAAAGACTAAACCAGCATGAATAGACTGCAGAAAATGAAGTCTGTAGCAGCTAAACTTGTATGCCTTTTCATTAATTTCTGGTGGCAAAGACCTGTCTCTTTGCTTGCTGTGCAATAGGAGACTAAATAAAGGTCACACTTGTGGCTCTCTAAGACAGCAAATCAGGACATTTAGTGATGGAGATTTGGGAAAAGGATTCAATTTTCTGATTCTGTAGCCTAGGGTAACACAACTATTCTTTCCTATTTCCATTAGAACAACTGAAGAGTGAAGAAGTAAAAAGACTATTTGCTAAGACATGGAAGCCATAACATTATTTTCTACTGAGAAGACAAACCAAATAACTAAATTATGCATATTTTACAGGTAAACTAGCAAAATTAGTTTCACTTGCATGACTGGGGATGTAAGGTTTGCCTTCCATGCCTTGCAGCATTACACTATTCCCCTCTGTTGCAATTTGGAGGTGGCCATTTTGAGCACTCTGCAATAATATGTATTACTCAACTCTTGAACACCAGAGTAGGGGAGAAAGAACTTCTAACCTGCATTACTTTGTAATGCAAAATGTTTAAAGAAGTCTCAGTTATGCTAACAAAGTATCTCAAACCCAGGTTTGTTTTTTTTTTCCTATTAACCTTGAACAAGTAAATAGACACCCAACAACTCACAAATGGTTTCTCAGTTTACATAAGCTTTTCTCTGCTTAGGAAATTTTTGTGCTCATTTACACTCTACACCATCATCTAGGATGAGCCCTATATTTACCTTCTAGCTGTATAATGCTTTGCTCTTCTGGTTTTAAACCGAGGATTACATTTTGCTATCTACAGTGGAGTTGCTTTTGTTTCATATTAGCAGAAATGAAATCAGCATGTATGAATGTGAATATATATCAAAAGAGAACTGTTTAATCCATAACCACAAAAGTCTTCCACTTGTAGCACCATTTCTATAATTTCTTACAAGAGATTTAAACAACTTCTAGACCATATTAAATATCCATTAAGCTGTTTTTACAGATATTATTTATAACATTATTTGAACACTTCCAACATCTTGTAAAAGAAAACTGATTTCTTCTTAGTACCATCACAGCCTGTTGCAATTTAAGACAAATAGCTCCATCAACTAAATTATAATCATATTATTGATTAATGTGTTAAAAGATTGCTATGCAAGGGAACTATCAAATTTAACTATGTTTATATCTATATCTTCTGCCTCAATTACAACCAGGTTGCTTAACTTTGGTAAAGTGAGATAACTGACGTTCTAAAGCACTTGAAGAAAAACCCTGACAACGGATATTACATCAGTCAGTTTCTCCAACTAAAATAAATCAGGTTCTCCTAAGACATGCTGAGAAAAGTAGACATCAAGACAGTCATAAAAACATTATTCTGCCTTTCCAAAATCAGCACTTATAATAAACCAAGTATTTTGCAGTATGTGGTAACAATGAACTAATCTCTAGTATACAATAATCACACTTGAGTGCACAATAACTGCCAGTTGTTAAGAGACTCCAGATACTTCACTGTGAGATAAATGGAATTTTATTTCTAGGGAGTGATTCTTCTTTATAATAAATATATAAAAGTGCAATATCTTAAATATTTACTGCATGCAAGTAATCTTTTCTTGTTGTTTTTAGCATCATATAAAGTAATCTTATGCAATAATCTCTGCAAGAATACACTTGAACTTATAGTTAAATTAAAGCATCTCTTCAGTTGAGTGCCAGCCTAATCGTTGCATTAACCACCTCATACAGGACTGCAGGAAAAAAAGCAAACTTTCCATAACTTCCTGGCAAACAGTTCTCTATTGACAATGTGAAATGACATACTAAAATAGCTTAATTTGGCTCACATTTGCTACTACATCCTTCAGCTGACTATATTCCAACTACAGTGTTAAAGTTTTGTTTTCTGAAACGCCTGTCCAAAAGGCTAATTGGATCTGCTCCTGATTACAGGAACCTTCTGAAGCTGTTCTTATTCACAATTTGTCTTTAATGCAGCCAGGATAAACAATTCTGTAATGACTACCAGAACTGAATCTGGTAGGTCAAGCAACCTTCTCTTTATGGCAAGCAAGATAAAAGAAAGATACAGAAAAATAATCAGAACAAAATGGCAGGAGGAACAGGAAACAAGATTAAGCAGAAATTGTGTTCCTCTTCAGCTGTATTACACATCACATTTGTTGAATTCTATCAGACCAATTTACATTTAATTCACAAGGATCAGAAAGTATTCTAGAGTGTACATACACAAAGCAATATTGTAGAAGTATTTTCTTTCGATGGCAGGAAGCAATTAATCAGTGTGATAGACGAGTGTGAATTGAGAAGGAAGGAGTGCATTGGACAAGGACACAGCAAACCTTGAATGTCATGCACAGCAGCACAGCATTTTAAATAAGATAGAAAACTTTCGTTTCTTTAAGATCTTACTGGAAATGAACTATTTTTTCTTCCCTTTTTTTTTCTCCCTGTGAGATGAATGAAAGCCCAATTCTTATATTTCTCCATCCTTAACACTAAGGGTGACTTGTTGGCATCAGTCTGACTACAGTTGCATTTAGTCCATATACACAGAAACTGGTGTGAAACTTTAAAGCGGAGTAGGAAAGAGTTCTCCTTTTTCTACAATTTCATTTTTTCTCAGATAAAAATGCAGTCAAGACCTCTCAAAGTGAAAATTGCAACCCTTCCAAGCCAGAATAGCTAATAGCCCCCAGAGGGCATAAAATGAAGGTTTTAGATACTACAGGACTAGGTTTAAAAAGGGGAGGAGTGTTACTCCTTTTTTTCTTCATTTCTAAGCCTTTTGGCCACACAATTCTACCTCTTCCACTTAGTCAGCTTAGCACTTGTTGGAAATATTGGTCAGCCAAATCAGCTGACACCCCTGAAAATTAGATTAGTAAAGCAGCCAAACAAGAAGAGGGTTTGGGTTTCTTTTCACCCAGCTCATTAGCAAAGCAGGAAGGCTGAAATAAGGGAGAGGAAAAATTCCCAGCAGTTGAAAACGGGGAACAGAGGAGGTCTCAGAGGGTAGCTCTTTTTTGTAGCAATGAGCTATGAGAGTGGGGCAGGTGCCTTGATGTCAGATACTGATACCACACGTGCTACTGAGGAGCTGGCAACTGTGTATTTTGTGGCCGTCTACAAATACTCCTAGGTGTTTGGAACAGTATCCTACAAGTGCTCAGCAATCTGGTGAGATGATTGTAATGATCTGATGGCAGGTTTTAATCACAACTATGCACAATTTATCACACAGATAGTTTCTACATCTATTTCACATATCCAACAGTCACCACTGACACTGTATGTTGTTGGCATTATCTTCACTGAGACATAAAGATAAAATAAATCCTTCCCTACTGACCCTTCTCCCTTACATTCTGTAACTGGAAATTAAAATGAGGAATCATTCACTCAAGTCCTTGCTTAGGTAAACTGTTTGCACTCTGGGAATCTTACTTAAACCACTGTGATCATGTAATAGAAAACAAACTCATTTTTGCAACTGGCCTGAAATTCTATTTCTTCGGTAGTGAAGATAGGAGATCCACTGATTGTTGATCAAGTATGAGCCAAACTCCTAAAAAGTAGCACATAGGCATCTTTCCCTTATTCCTGCCACGGCACAGGTGAACAAGACAACCTAAGGAACACCTCGCTCTTGCAGTACTACTGCAATCATCCAAAATCCTTAAGAAATTCACCTGTCCACACAGTCTGAATTTTCTAGTAGTAAGGTATGGGGTTTATTTCTTCTCACCCCCCACTTCTGAGTTTCCATTGTACACAAGCCAAAAATCTCCAAACCTTTAATAATACTGTCAAATTACCATCTCCACTGTAACAAACCTCAAAGGTTTTGAATGTCTGGCTGTAATAAAGATATTCCGGAAATTTTAATATTTAGACAATGATGATGGAGCACACATAATTAAAAATTAATTGTGGAGTAACACATCTATCCACCATTTACTATAACAAGAAGCACTTTGGGAGAACAATAAGCCCAAACAGTATTTCAGAAAAACTACATTTCAGGAATGAAGATACTATAGTACAAAGGTATTGGCCAAAAATACTGTATTTTTAACCAGCAACATTTTTGAGGGGCAGTAACTGTACAATATTAGTTTTTCAAAAAAACTGTTTCTGTCCCTCAAGCAACACACAATACATGCATTTAAATGACACTTTAAGAACAGCAGATATGATATTTACTTTTAAATACTCGAAGTTTTAAAATGCATCTGACACTCCTCCCTATAAAAAAATTAAAACTGGTCAAATAAGGATTTCCTGCAGCATGGTGAATGAGAAACCCAGCAACAGACTTAATCTTAAATTGTATTTTGAGAGAAAAAACCCCCGAATCAACAGATTTACATTAACCTTGATATGGCTGGTTTTATATTTTTGACAATATTTTCAAAATCTATTTTTTTTCCCTGCAGCATGGCTACTGTGAAAAAGCTCAAGTGAAACTCACAGTAAAACCCCTTTAACCAGCTAAATCTTGACCTCAATGCGTTGACTACATAGGAAAGTTTCTTGGTTGACTGACAGAACTCAAAATGTTATGGGTAATCAGAAGACAAAACAGAGGAAGTATCAGCAGCTCCACTTCTCAAACTAAATGTATTGTTTTGCAAGATCTCTACTAAACTAACAAACCGGACAGAGTCAGATGACTTCAGTTGTTTAAAGCCTGTTAAATTTTAGAATTCATGGTTTATATCAAAAGAGGGACCGCCTTTGCAAAATGTCCATTTCTAAAATACCATGGTTAATCACCTATACTAGGACATGTAAATTTCGTAACTTATGTCGGTCTCTCCAAAACATATTTACTTTACTGATTTCTTAACTAGAGGTAGGTCATGTGTAGGCCTTGTTAATATGCTGTGAACACTTCATTAGTTCACTAATGTAATAGTCTGCAGGAAAACCATGCACAGAGCTCCAAAAATAGCAGCACATAATAATAAATTATTGTCTAAATTTATTTTTTTTATGTGGGTTAACATGTCCGTGTTTTCTCCGAATATTTTATTCTTTTGTGAAGAATGTTTAACAAGGGAAGGGTCATGAGGTTGAGTAATCTGAAAGTCTTCTGCACCTTACGGGAGTCTAGCAGTATCTTTATATGCAGCCCTTTTCCCCCATATAGAGTTTTTGCAGATTATGCAGTCAATTCTGACTGTTATCCAGCATTAAAAGTCTCTTCTCCACATTTAAACTTTAAAAAGGGATTCACAATCATGTGGCAGTATGATTAAAAATTACAGTCCATACACCTTGATAATCAAAAGAGACTGAATTATAAAAAGTAAACTGCCCTTATAGCTGCATCATCCTACATCTGTAAGGACAGTGTCAGTTAATTAGTGAAAAAGGCAAGTTCAAGGTTTCTGTAAAACATGTATTACAGCTTTCTTGTGCTAGTGAACATCTAGAATACACAGGTTCCCAAGATGTTTTCCTTCCCTCCTCTCCCATTTATACCATTCAAAGAAAACATAATTTTGGCAAAGTTAAAAGGGTTTCTGTCTTGATGTTTTTGCCTTCAGCTTCATGTTAGAGGCACAAACTTCTGGACTTAAGCACTATAAGGCATAGTAGAAACCACCAATTAAAACAACAGCACCACCACCACCACAATGGAATATACTACAGGTGGGAACAGCTGTGTCATTTAAAAAGAAAATGTTTTTGTAAACTGTCACACTGCAATGCTGTGTTAGATGATTCATGTAAAGCTTGCCTTGGCATGCTGAATATCTTTTTTTCCAGAACATGCTCAAATGATCTAAACACTGCCACAGGTTCAACTCACCTAAAAAATACCAGAAAATAGCCCAGTGGCACACACTCTTGAAAACTTTTGCAATCACAATATAACTATAAAGCATGAGTAAACTTCTGTTTTGTTTTTATACAAAACTCCGAACCACATTTCCTGTTCCCCCACCCAATATCTCATAAGAAAAAAAAAATTAAAAATGCCCAAACTTTTGTTAGACACCACTGTCTGGTGTGGCTTTTTGTCTGTTTGGTGTTTTTACCTTCCCCCCTCCTTTTTCTTTTCTTTTTTTTTGGCCACAGTTCCATTTATAGCACTGAATCCAGTGTGAGCAATGTATTCCCAGGTTAAAAGAAGGGATATTATCAACAGTGGAACTGTGAAATCAGAAGCTCTGTTGAATTTATAGGAAGATCAGGACCAATTTTGTTAAGCTGTACGTAAGAAAGAGTCACTGTTTTGATCCCCTATTCAGAATGTCAGCGTTACTTTTAAATAAAATGCTTTTAACTCCTTAAAATTGTTAATTATAGTGGCTGTTTGGTTGTTGTTGTTATTCATAAAGTTTCTGCAGTTTCTGAAAGACTGATTAATTGATCTGATGTTTTATATTTTATCATGGTATTTTTAGGGCAACAGCATACACACATTAGTACTTATATACAATGGTTTGAAATATCTCTAGATTTACTTTTCCAATAAATCCTATCAGAAAAGTAAAAGTAACCTAATGTGAATCTGATAAATAAAAATTTGATTTATATATAAAGCTTATGTTCCAATTAGAGATATAATGGCCTAAGTTCTCTAATAAGATTGTTTTCTACAACTGTATAAAGCCCTGACAAGATTTAAACATTGTTTTGAATGTGAATGACCTCTGTCTGGGTGTCTCCAATTTACTCCTACTCAGGAATATGGAAATGATTTTATACAGCACGATGCTAGTACCGCTCTGTACTATAGTATTTTGTTTTGTAAATAAAAACAACAAATCCCTAGTCAGAAATAAACTGACAAAATTTACATTCTTCTCTCTTAAAAAAGTAAATAAAATAACATTATTTAAAATGTGAATTAGCTATGAGACATACAATACAATTACATAGATACATATCAATACAGCACATTCAATTTGCCAAAAATTAATGATTACAAAGCCAATATGGATGCTGCCATATATATATATATATATGTATGTACAATGATTATAGCATTCATAATTGCACTATACCTACAACCAGTTTTAAATTACAAGGTGTTTTAAGAGGGAGCAAAAAATAGCAACTGTTCTTGTTATTGTTGTTTTGGAATTGGGAGGGTTAAGGATGAAAAATGCCTCATTAGTACTTATTGTTAACTCTGGTAATCAACTAAGAAGCCATTCTTTTTTTCCACTTCCCATCTGCTGCTATGTGGCTGCAATTTCTGTGTTAAGTGCACTCTAGTGCTACTTTGCATTGCAAATAATAAATCCAATTACAAGTCTGAACTCCGAGTTTCCTAGAGCTTGCTAGCAATCATGCACCTAGTCAAAAAACACCTTTCAACCTGCAGAATAAATGCTCATCTACGTGTGCTGCATTTTTGTTGTTAAAAAGTTGCACGTTTAAATTTAAAGAATTATTTTCTCACTGCTTCATTTACATTTACAAATCTCTTCTAAAGAACATTGAGAGAGGCTCTTTTGCATGAAAGCTTATCAAATGCCTGTGAATTAGTTAACAAGAACCTTATCAAGAAAGGTTCCTGAATATGATCTCTCATTAATACTTTTGTGTTATACAACTAAAGGTGCCTTGAAATTATTATGGAAAACAACCTCATGTCTTAATTGACAAAGGGAGAGATCTAAACTGTTTTTAAATCAGTAGACCACATGCATGTGCATGTTCATAGCATATTCACTTACACTGTTGGTTTTGGCATTAGAAAATGGAACACCTTCTAAAAAAGGGAACACATGAGCTAAAACTGTGTGTGTTAATCATTTGGCAGTTGACTCAATCAGGTCAGTTCCCAACCCCTCTGTTTGGCATTTCAATCAGTATCTTGTTTCAAGAGCACTGGTTTTATAAAAAGCCAGATTTGGCAACATGAATTTTGTACAATAAAAATAATTTTTCTACTGTGGAAAAAGAACACTTAAAAAAGCTCTAACTTAAGAAAAAACACACCACAAAACTGAGAAAAAACAACACTGTTTCAGGCTGTAGCCACTGGGGAAACTGTAGTGTCTGACTTTTCTATTTGGCATCTGTAAATAAAAGAAGAGACAAAAAAATGGCACATGGCAACTAAAAAGAGATTCTAACATATTCATAACAATAATGAAATAACTGTGTCTTAATTATTTCATTATTGTCTTCTGTGCACCTTTCTGAACTGTAAAATTACGGATAAATTTAATATCCTTAGACAATAGTAATTCTACTTTGTAATCCCAATCTTCTAGTCTCAAAGTGAAAGACAGAATGAAGACAGCCATGTAAAGAATTTAAAAATCACAATATCAATACTTTTTGATCCTTCAGAGAAAGTACATACTGTAAAATTACAATGACTGATGACTTAAATTGTGATAATACTACTTTCCTGACCAAATCACCCAACAGAAAATATTTCACCCAGGAATGCAACTGGGGAAAAAAAGGCCATTGTACCTTGTAAAACATAAGAGGAGAAGGAAAGGAGGAGGCGAGAAAGGGTTAGGGAAAGAGGAAATCAGCTTGATTTTGCTTCAATAGCAAAAAACTGCTATCCTTTGTAAATGTATGACTGAGAATTTGAAACACATTGAGTCACAAGGTTTTGCCTAAAAAAATGAGGAAATGTGCTGTGAATGTACTTCAGCATCTTTTGTTTTTCCTCCGTATAGTTTAAATAAAATCATAATATTAACTACAAACTCTGTGGACATTCACAGAGTCCAGGCCGGCAATAAATTAGTATTATGCAAATTGTTTTCACAGATTATAATACAGTCCCTCTTGTGTATCTTCAATCATGGAAAGTTGGTTTTGGAGGACCCCCCAGGCACAGTTAGACCAGGTTGTACTCCTTCAGGTTTAACTGTAGGATTGTGTCCTTGACCGCAGCGAAGACGAAGCGGATGTTCTCTGTGTCTGTAGCACATGTGAAGTGAGAGTAGATAATTTTGTCACTGTCTGGATTCAGGTCTACGAACATCTTCAGGATGAACTCTCGTGCTGCCTGTGCATCCCGCTGTGGTCCTGTAAGAAAAAAAATTCCATTTTTTTAAAAGTCAATTTCATATTTCAAGTTCTTTAAAAGAAAACAAGGCTCAGTCTGTGCTCCTCATGTAAGAGACGGTGGGGAATCTTTTACTCATCAATAATATCATATACTGGCTACTTTCTTTGGGGTAGGAACTATTAAAAATAAAGAAGGAATTGTCAGAAGTTCACCAACTCAGAGCTGCTCTTTTCTTGCTAACTATCCTCATTCTTCACTAAGAGAAATCAGTTGTTTAAAACAAGTGAGCTGTAAATGAACAGAATGAAAACAAAAAAAATTAGCTATATTATTAAATCTTTAAAAATGCTAATAGAATTGGTGAATGTTCTAAACCTGCTATATTTAAATTAGACTTCAGTTATTTTAGCCCTGCAAGATTCACTAGTTTTATGCGGATTTCAATAAGAACCATAGTGAAGTTATATTCTGGACTGGTCTGACACCGTTACCAATAGAACTTAATTTACTTTAAGGGATAATAAAACACACGTGCTCTCCAGTTGAAGCTGTTGATTGCAAAAGGCTCATGTTCTAACTGATTACTTGTTTTTTACATTATATATGTTAATGATCCTATCAGATCTAAATTAAGGTTTTAACTCTCAGAAGGACAGAGAGTCAATGTAACCAACCTACATTTTCAGCTTAAAAGAATACAGAAGGTAATGACTTCCAGCCTAGAACAGTGAGGATTCATTCATGTTCACAGCCAAAAGAGCAGTGCAGACGCAAGAACACAAGCCACATGCTGCTGAATTCTCTTCCATTATTCCAGTGCTGCCTACAGAAGCCACTGTTCCCTTGCTCTCCTGTTTCTGGAACGTGAGTTTCTACAGAACACACATTTTCTATACTCTTGCCTCTTCCTACTCTCTTCATCTGTCCTGTTGTTAAATGGCAATATAAATATATACATAAAATATAAATATAAATATAAATATAAATATAAATATAAATATAAATATAAATACAGCAGCCGGCTGTTATGAGTGGCTCTGTCCTTCAGTAATTACAAAATCTATACTTTGTGGGTCAGCACATGTCCACATATTTTTCAACAACTGGATAATAGAACTTATTTTTAATACTTCAAGCTTATAATTGCTAATATTTCCAATGTGGATAACCCTATAAAATTTAGGAAAAGAATGTATGGATGAGAAATCACGTACTTTCTTGTGTGCTGCAAATCCATGTGGACGGGGTGTAAGATTCTGCAATATACGGGTGTATGCGCCGTGAACAGATGTACATACATGCTCATACAAACACAGATGACATCATCACTTCTACAGCTTCAAAAACACAACACACTAGCCTTTCGCTTGGCCACCCATACTATAAAGAGCAGCAGTATTAAGTCTCACAATAGCACAAATAAATCTCCAGTATTTTTGAAGAAAACTTTTTGACTTTCAAAGACAATGATTTCTTCAAAATAAACCACCTAATTTTTTAAACAGTTTCCTAGAATTTTGTTAAACAGTTTCACGGTAGCTAGACACAGTGCTGTCTCAAAATCCATTAGGTTATTCAAAGCCTATACCCAAATCTGCTTACTTAATCATACCTCTATGATTATATATATACATTATTTAAACTTTTATTTGACTGAGGTTCAAGTATCGAAAAATGAGCTTAGAAAGTACGTTTATGACCTCAGGACTTTAGAAAAAAAAAATAGAATGAGTTAGTGTTAAATTCAGACTGCAAAGTGGTTCTGATCTAAATAATATGGACACTTGGAAAAGAATTATCATATAAATTAGTAGGTTTCCTGTCTACTGCTCTAATCAGCAGTTCTTGAAGGCTGTCTCTATATGATACATTCAAGATCTACATAAGAAGTACTACACCAGGATTTTTCTCTTCTTTTCCTCCCAACTATAGCCCCTCCTCTCTCCCTCTCCCAGCTCTTCATTCCAGTCTTTGAGTCAGTTTTCTAGTAAGAGCCATACAAGGATGTCTTCATGCAATCCACAGACACATGAGCATGCATTGGTCCTCCTTCCAATGCTCTTACAATGCACTGTGCAGCAGAACTGGTTAGCTTGATTTAATCCATCCAATTTGGCATTGTGGCCAGCAGTTCTCATCCCTATGCTACCTTCTCCCTTGTGCAGAAAAACAGAGAGAATTGATCCAGCTGAAAAATACCTAATTCTGATACCTTCCTCAGATCTTCCCACTTCCCACATCCTCAGTGTGCTGGACAGAAGACGAGATCACATGGTGACCTCTGCAAGCCACAGACCCAACTCTGTCACCGGAAGTAATCAAATCAAACCATAACCTTGCCTCTGGAGTTAAGTCCTGAAAGATCTGTAGAATTAAGAGACAAGGACTCTTGAAGACTTCCAGGTCTTGACTCCAACAACCCTGTACCAGTCCATAATCTTTTTTTCCCTTCATTAATGGCAAAGGACAGGGGAAACAGACTTTCTATGAACTGAGCCACTGAGTTCTATCTGGGTTTTTTTCAAGACAAGCATTTGTTAACACCTGAGTGGTGACAACTGCTGAGCGGATCGTAGGGTCTTCTCACCTTCAGGATGCCACCTAGGGAACTTGTCACACAAATTAAATTCCAAAGAACAAGCATATTTCTATTCAACTGCTAGTTCTCTTCTATATAGTACCATGAAACTAAATTTTCACTGACTCACAAATAATATGGTCTGATCCTGAAGGCTGTCAATTGTTCCCTTTCCCTTTAACAGAACACAAAATGTACATTTTTCCTGTTATTACTTTCCGTATTTGTACATGAGAGTTTTAATCTTTTTCTCAGCTTACCAATCAGCTATTCACTTCCTGGTGGGACAAAATCAATTTTCTTTTTTGAAAAATAGGAACATTTAGTTCTCTAGACCTCTTATACTACATGAGTTTGATTTTTCTCTGTTACCAAGGTCTCCTTCACTCAGTTACCTCAAAATGCTTAGTTTTCCTCTCAGAAGAACTTTCTGAAAGCACAGCTTTAGTAAAAACACTTATACAACACACAATTCTTTTTATGGACAAGCACATTAAGATTCACATAATTAATGTAAAATTAAAATAAACTAAAAGGTACAATGAAAGGGTGTAAGGGGTGGCACTTGTTTATCTGAGTGTTACAGAGTGTTTATGACACTTCCCCTTAGGTATTCAACCTTACAAAAAAACAAACCTCAAAAAATCAAAAGTATGGATGACTACGTGTACAACTGAGGAATGCATTTTATCTATTTTTAATGTTTACACTTCAATTTAAACCCTTCCCCCCTCCAAAAAAGGACAGAATGCGGTTCACTATAATTTCCCACTAAAGGTTTTGCCATGCCACCCGCAACCAATTACAGAATAAAATGAAAATCTAGCAGTCTAAAAATCAACAACAGTTCCATCACATTTTACCTTTTTTTTTCTTGAAGGAGTAAAATATATCAAAGGATCTATCTATCTAGCATTTGGACATAGCTACTACAATTTGCCATTGCTGCAGGGTAAACAGAGTATGAACTCTGATGTCATTATACTTACCGTCATACTCTGGAAAATAATCAACTAGATGGGAGTACATAATTTTCTCCTCTAATAGATCTTTTTTATTTAAGAACAGAATAACTGAAGAATTCTGGAACCACGGATACGTGATAATTGTCCTAAAGAGTGCTTTGCTTTCTTCCATTCGATTCTGGAATAAAAAAAAGAGCAGAATTTTGGTGGTCGTGAATTAATTTTTTCAGTAACTTTATGCATTTTCACTTTATTTGGTAAAAGGATCCATTTCATTTTTTGCACTTTCCTGCTGATATAGAAGGTTCAAGTAATTTAATCAAAGTAACAAGCAAGCAGTTCATTAAATATGCAAGCATTTTCCTTCTGCAAATTCAACTGCTGAAGCATAAGTATTCTTTAAAACACTAGTCATGAACATGAAAGTTGTAACAGGTACATTTGTAAAGTCTGAGTATGCACTGGTGGTTATTGAAAAGTGATTAATGGTATGGACAAGTACAGCACCACAAGACATAATAACCAATTTAAGGTTTAATACATTATTTATTTTACATGCCTTTGAATATTTTGAGTGTAGAGTTGAGTAGTTCTTAGAGATCACCTTAAAATAACTGCAAGCAAATTTGGAACCTGAGAACATTTTGTCAACACCAAAACCTTATGACATAAATTTTAAAAAATTCTAATTTGCTAAATTTGTTTCTAACATCACTGGATTACCCTTTAATTCTTTAACCGCTCCTGAAACCACTTTTCGTTGTAGCTGTAATGTCAGTAAAGCTGACTCTATCTGTAATATTCTTCTGTCATTGTAGAATATGTTACAATTTGATTAGTTCTGAAGAACTTAAGTTGACATGACATGGTTAATACAGAGTCATAACAAACATGGTCCAAAACACAGGAACTAACTTACTTTTTTCATTATTATTATTTAAAGCTGCAGCACCCTGAAAAAGCCTGTTTTACCACCGAATGGGGCTTCAGAGAATGGCAAGGTGAATCCTGCAGATTCTGCTGTTGCTGAGCCATACAACAAGCTGTCAGATAACTCTGACAGTTTTGCTATAACTACACCTTTACTGCCATTAATTTGCATTTTAAAGAGGCAAACATAAACATGAACAGGAACTTAAAAACCCAAACTTAAAACAACAAAACAAAACAAAAAACAAACTGCAAACCAATTCAATTTTGTAGTAAAAGTCAATGATTTGTTCTCATATATTACCCCAGAATCTTCATGTAATTTATTAAACTTTATTGCATGTTGTTGTGGTGAGTGAAAATAAATAGCTGAATTTATATATTAAAAAACTAACGTGAGGAATAAAACATTTGCTTTCACGCACTCGGATCTCATGACTCGTATTGATTTAAATGGTGCCAGGATTTCATTCCGAAAGGAGAAAAACTCAAATGTCAACACAGTTGAACATAAAACCTAAGTCCTTAGACTAATTGTTAATCAGACCATATTTTCTTCTCAAAGTTCTATGCAGACCTCTTCTCTAAAGAAGATGTTACAGAAAGGCAATGGGAACTACCTAGTTTTGACTTTTATAACTTGATGAAAAAAAGAAGGCAATGTAAACTTACAAACTACTGGTTAGATTATAAATATTTACCTAAACTTCTTAATTCTTGGTATCTTCTAATGTGACACTTAGAAGGTAAAACAGTGTAGTGACTCAATTGGAAGTGTTCTTTCACAGTAAATTTATAAGCTATTTGTAACTTCTCAATAAGAAAAGTGCAAGGAAAACACAAACTAATTACTTACCTAGAAAAAATGTTCCTACTTTTCACCCTTCAAATGGACTGTAATATTTTCATCTACAGTGCTGTTTTTTTCCCATATACACAACATAGAATTGAAAAGACAAAATAAATAAATCTATTTGGATAAACTTACAACCCTTCCTCCAGCAAAGCTCAAGAAAACCATGTTTTGCAAACACTGTTATTAGCCCCAGAGCTCATTTTCATTTTCGATTTGAAAGGGATGCCAAACAAGATGAAGCAGAAAATGTATGCAGACTAAAGCTGCATTGACATGCATAAAACAATTTCTGGCACCCAATCAGCTGAAAAACGAACTCTCTAATTGCTACATATAACAAAAATACAAAGAAACATACACAACCAAGACAAAAATACCGTGTCTTCAGTGTAAGATGAGCATGTCTTATATATTAATTATTAATTCTGTATAACATGAATTGAATTCCACAGCCACTTTTTTCCTATTATCAATTTATAAATGTCTCTCAAGTCCTTTCATGCTTGGTTTGAGGCATTTGACTTAAACCTCTCCTTGACAAGACATGTAGTAAAGATTTCACTCCAACAAGAGATCAGAGAAAAAGCAGGTTTTCATTATTTTAAAAATAGTTCAATTAATTCACAACCTATCTGTGTGAAAAAAAAAAAAAGATACTACTTAGAAGGAAGTGTAAAAGAGCTGCAGCAGAAAAATAATGTAACATCAAAGAAAATAATCACAGCCTTGAGAAATTTACAGGAGTGATTGACATGTGCGGTCTAATACAACTGAAGGAAATGCTTGGTTATTTCAGAAAAGATACATAGTTGAGGATGTCAGTAACTAAAGCAAATAAAACACTACTAGATTATCCTACCCTCATTCACTCCACTGTATTCTTTAGTGTAGTAAAAGTCTTACTTCATACAGAAGCTACTTGCTTCCAGAAGCCGATTGTTCCAACTGTCATCCAGTTAACTGTATTTCCAGGAAGAGCCAGGTTAAATCTGAATCTACTCCTGATTCTGGGAGAATAGGCTTTAAAGACTCAGCAGCAGTAGATTGTTACCCTTGCTAATTTTGTATTAAATTATCCACTCCTAAACAAAATTAAATGGAAGTCAGAGAACTGTGGAAATTATAAAAAAATGTACATTACATTGCCAGAGGCCACTGAAGTAGAATTATTTCTTAAGAGTATAAGAATCATGCCCTATACAGCTATAACAGATGAGGATACTGGAAAAGTAAAACTGTTGCCAGATGAAGAACTATTTGCTTAGCTGGTGGGGAAAATACAATGCTTATTCTTAAAAATCCCTAGCCTATGGAACGGCACAATAATTATTTTTTAGGATCATGTTAAACATTAACCAAGAAGAGAAATGGGAGAGTAACAAGCCTAGGAACGCTAACTAAGCTCCATATTTGGGAAGTATGACCAGTTCATTGTGCGGTCAGCTGTAACTTTTCAGTCTATGACCACCAGAGGGACTCTCGAGACAGAAGAACACGTGCAAAGAGGAGGGAACATATGTTAACGATTTTGAAGAAATTATTATCATCAGTATTTTTCTTCTGGGAAAACCAATGAATATGTATGTAAAAAACAGTATATAAACAGGAGCTTTTCTATACTCGGTATGCACAAAACTCTTGAAAGTATTCCCCGTGCATCCGGCACCAAATAAAGAATACCTGCTTTCTAGTACTGAAATTGTATGTTAGAGAATTTACTTTTTTGACCATTTTTCTGTAACAAGACAGTGAAGTGTCTTGCACACCAAATGGTAGTTCAAACAAACAGTAATTATCTCAGTATAGGGATTATTTCAAAGTGTACATCACTACAAAATGGCCCTTACTGCACCTCCATCTGCAGAATGACATGAACTGCAGGGATTACAACATTGGGAAGGCTGAAGACACCTTTTCTAAGGAGCTGACAAAGGATGACAAGCTGTCTAAATCAGTTAAGAAATAGGACACTCTCATTAAGATCCATAATTGACAGGTCTATGAATTTCCATGATTCTTCTCAAGGAAGAGAACACACTATGTTCTGCCTTTACGACAGAAGTATGGAAAAAAGAATTAGGCTAACACTGGTTATTTTCTCTGAATGTGTGCCACATTGCCATGCTCCACAAAGAAATATGCCTTCACAAAAGATGTATGTAATAAGACTGTAGTATTAGAAATTTAAAAGAAATCAGATTAGTATCAACATTCACTTTTAAGTAGTTCTTCCCAAGAGCCAAGCTTCTAAATTCTCTGCACTAAGATATTTGGACACCATTATTCGGAGAAGACTGTTGCCTTTATGTCACCAGAAACCACTCATTATAAAATCAGAAACAGTAACTTACAGTTTAGCTCCAAAATCACACTCTTCATGTAACAATACACATTCAGGGCCTGGCTACCTGGATGGTTTCCAAATAAAGGCTAGGTCCATAAGAGCTAAAAACACTACAATTAGATGATGACAGTTACTATTCATAACCTAAGAGAACATAGAGGGGATGATTATGTACTTACACACTAGAAGGGATGCTGCTGCACTGCTCATACAATTAAGCACCATACAACATTGAATGAATAACAACCCCTCCTATAATTTGTTTAAATATAACCATCTGACAGTGACTATCGCACATCTTGGAAGGCTTGGTTGGCAGGAAGGCATTTCTAAAGTTCACCTATGTTAGTCTTTCACTTCAGTAGGTCTAATGACACATGGGAGCATGTCAGTCATGGCTTTGCCTTGGGAAGTCTTGAAAGCCTGTACAGACGGATTTCAGTAACTCTCTAATTTCCCTGTCCCCCTGCTAAACTAACACCCAAGGGAACTTCCCAAGCCACAATCTAGTTATATTGTCCATCTCAAAAAGTTCAGCTCCATGGCACTCCTTCAATTCCACAAATACTTGTTGGCAAGTATTAGTGTCTTGCTCACTAGACTAAACAAGCTTAGGTCTCTCACCCTGTCTTGACAGAACATGGGCTCTGGACCTTTCATGCTTTTCCCAACAGATTACGTGACCACGAAATTGCATATATAAACCCTCTGCAAATTATTTCAAAATTGTGTTAAAGATGGTGAACTGACATTTTGATATTTTGTCATTCAGATGTGTACTCTGTAGATGTTTTGCAGGAATTGTAAGATGGCCTAGAGATTTTCAAGTAGATTTTACCTGCCTGAGCAGATGAAGCAATACAGGTTCTCAGTTCACCATAACAGATCAAACATTCTAAGACAGTTTCGTTATTTCATTTTACTATGACTCATGGATTAAGCAAAAAATAAGAAGCAATTTATTTTTTTGACTAATCAGTCTCTGCTTAACCTTCTGCAGTCTTTATCTCTCTATCCAATTTCTTTGAGCCATTCAGCTTTTATGGAT